CTTGGGAACTTTTACACCTAAGGATTTATCTTTTAAAAATTGCACAACAGTTAAGGAATATTTTTAAAGCAATTTAATAATAACAGTTTATATTTTCAACCAATAGCAATTAACTGAGTTCCTGCCCGCTGTCAGGGATTATCATAGGCAGTGTCACTCCATCTACGAAGGAAATTTCAATCCCTGCCCTCGTGGGGCTTATACTCTAGTGCGAGTCGGTTGACAAATAAGCAAAATGGGAGTGGGGACGTTGTAGACAGTAGATGCTACGGAGAGAAATTAAATAGCGAGCAGTGATAACCTGGAGGTTCCAAACCACGAAGTGAGCACAGTGTTTCAGAGAAGGGGCTAGCCGAGTGACAGATTTGTGGGCACTGCGACATGGCGAAGGGGCTCTCTGTGCAGGGAGCAGAGCAAATGAGGACGGCAGGAGATGACACCAGAGGTCATGAGAGCTGGGATGGTCAGGGGGCCTTGAGGGTCAGCATAAATACTCCAGCTTTGTTACTGAGATGGAGACATGTGTTTTCTTGAGGGCTGAGAGGGTCACCCTGGCTTTGCTGTTGGAAACAGCCATAGTTAAGGATACCTGTCAGGAAACAGCTGCAAGTGTCCTGGCATGAGATGCCAATTCAGAGCAGGGTGGCAGCAGTGGGACTCTTGACAATGATGCAATTCCAGGTGTATCTCGAAGGTCAAGATGACAGTACCAGATGTGGCATGTCAGAGTCAAGAGCAACTGCCAGGCTTTTGCTCTGAGCAGTTGGAAGGATGGGATGGCCATGAAGATGGGGGAGAGAAGCAGGGAGAAAGCAAGAGCAGAGAGAGAGAGAACAAAAGGCAGAGGCACCTTTATAGTCTTGAAGTGGGGAGCATGGGCTCAGGGAAAGGCAGATACGGCTGTGACACCAGGGTTAAATGCCTCAGGGGATTGGTGAGCAGGGCATGGAGTCATGAAGTACACTGGATTGGCATTGGCAGCCCAGTTTAAACCTCAAGGGCACAAAAACTTACTGGGCATTAAGGGCACCCACACCTAGTGGATTTCAGTAGTGCTGGGTAAGCGGGTATGTAAGGTGGCACTGGGTCCAGGGTGGGGGGTTCTTACCCTGGGTCTTCCAGGTCGCTGTTGGAGTTGCTCCTTAGAGGTTTAGTGCATTTTCTGTCATGGTAAGTTTGAGATTCCTGTTGGACTTGAACAAGCAGGAGTTAGATCTTATGGATCTGAAATGTAAGGAGTGATTGGGACTGAAGGTAGAAATCCATAACTATACTCACCTGTATATAGTTCTGAATTTTTTTAAAAAAATGTTTATTTTTATTGGAAAGTCAGATATACAGAGGAGGGGAGAAAGAGAGGAAGATCTTCTGCCCACTGATTCACTCCCCAAGTGGCTGCAACAGCTGGAGCTGAGCCGATCTGAAGTCAGGAGCTTCTTCCAGGTTTCCCACACAAGTACAGAGTCCCAAGGCTTTGACCATCCCACTGCTTTCCCAGGACACAAGCAGGGAGCTGGATGGGAAGCAGAGCTGCCAGGACACGAAGCAGTACCCATTTAGTGTGTACAAGGCGAGGTCTTTGTCCACTAGGCTACTGTGCCGGGCCCTAGTTCTGAATTTTTAAAAAGATTTATTTGAAAGGTAGAATTATAGAGACAGACTTCCAGTCCAGCAGTGTAATAATCCCCATATTCCCAGGAAGGCCATGTCTGGGTCTGGCTGAAGACAGGAGCTAGAAACTTTAGGTCTCCCATGTGCATGGCAGGGACCCAAGTACTGGAATCAGAAACAGCACCAGGACCCTCGCCCAGGTACAGGACCCTCACACATCCAGGCACAGGACCACGCCCAGGCACTGGTCTAGCGGATACAGGCGTTAAGTGACATCCTAACTGCTGTGCCAATGTTGGCCGCTCGTGTTGGTTTTTAAAATTATGAGATTTAAAGCTGACTAAAACCCAAGGCCATCTCACTCACATTCACTAAACAGGATTTATTCCAGGAACTTCAGCATTTGAAGTCTGGAGAGCAGTTTACCATGGTAACAAAAGAGAAAAACGATATAATTATCAATAGATGAGAAAACGTATTTGATTTTTAAAATATCTATTCTTTAAATTAGCAAAACAGTGACAGATGGAACCTTTTTTAAAAAGAGAGAAAAAGGATTTATTTGGATATAATATCAGGCAGAGGGGAACAAATAGAGAGGTTATCTTCCATTCCCTGGGTCACTCTGATAACCAGGCCAGGACCACAAGCCTGGAACTCCACACTTAACTCCTTACCCATGCTGACAGCAGCTAAGTAGGAAGGGGTGCCGGCCCTCAAGCCCACACCTGGGGAGCTCTCTGCATGCTGTAGCACCAGAAGTAGTAGGGGGACCTAGGCTGTGATCCCCACCTGTCCCCGATCACCGTGAGGACAGGACTCATTGTGTGTTTACTCCAAGTCATGGTTATGGTCCAAAGGCTGTCTCCGGGGAATGGCCGCTGCCAGGCAGGGCCAGAGTACAGCCTGAGAACTGGCATTCCTTTCCTTCATTTTTATTTGTTTATTTGCACTTTATTTGAAAAACTGAGAGACAGCTCTTCCATCTGAGATGCCCATAAAACAGGACTGGGCCAGGCAGAAGCCAGGAACTCGGTCCAGGTCTCCCATGTTGCACAGTAGCAGGGAGCTGGATCAGATGGAGTAACCAGGACTTGAACCAGGCACTCCACTGTGGGATTTGCATATCCCGAAGAGCAACTGGACCACTCCACCAAATGCCCACCCTGAAAGATGGCATTTCTAACAAGGATCCAAATGATGCTGATCTTAGCTCGTGAGCAATCAGTGACCTAGCTGACACCAGGAAGCAAAGCGGCCGCATCCCTCGGGAGCCTCCTCCCGCCCCTCCACCGTCCCCGTCCCATAGGAGAAGCTGAGGCTGGCTGCACTCAGCTCTCTGCATTACGGAGTCGCCAGAGCCGCTGTCTCCCAGTTGTGTAGATGCTCACCTCTCTGGTTTCATCACTATATCTTAACAAAGAATCCAGAATTCAAAGCATGTTTCAAAAAGACAGGCTTCTGGGGTCCAGGGTTAATTTGCATTATGCAATCCAATATACAGCCATGAGGAGTTCAGAGAATTCTGGGAAAAATTTGTTTTACTTGCAACCATCGGAAAAATTCCACTTGGTCCTAGAAGGATGCCTGTTCTTAAGATACTTTTAAGTATTCACAGGCCACTGAAAATGTAAAAGGAATTAAAAAGAAATTTTTAAAAATAGTATTTCTTGGACTTAAACAGTTCACATTTTTGGCCGAATTTCATGTGTTTGAGTTTCTTTAAAATAAATTTTTTTATTATAAAAAGATGGGTAATTTATTGTAGCTCGCAGAACAGGCTCCTTCAGTTTTTTCTTTTTTTCACTAAGTACCATGCTTTAGAAATTCATCTTCAGGACACCAAGTATGAGCAGAAGTGTTCATTTTTTTACTTTTTAAATATTTTTTTTTTTATTGTAAAGTCAGATATACATAGAGGAGGAGAGACAGAGAGGAAGATCTTCCATCCGATGATTCACTTCCCACGTGACTGCAATGGCTGATGCTGCGCCAATCCGAAGCCAGGAGCCAGGAACTTCCTCCAGGTCTCCCACGCGGGTACAGGGTCCCAAGGCTTTGGGCCATCCTCGACTGCTTTTCCAGACCACAAGCAGGGAGCTGGATGGGAAGTGGAGCTGCCAGGATCAGAACCAGAGCCCATATGGGATCCCGGTGTGTTCAGGGCGAGGACTTTAGCTGCTAGGCCATTCACCAGGCCAGAAGTGTTTATTTTTTATGTTTGCATTGCTTAAATAAAAGTAAGCTTTCTTAAGAATAAATAAATAAGAAGATGAAGGCCAGTTGACCACACTCACCTCAGTGGACTCGATGGCAAGATGAGGGAGTGCTTGCTGATCTTGAACATTGTCCCCTAACAGAGATGGGATCCAAGGGCCATGTCTGGGCAGCTCCCACCGTTGGATCCTAGCACCCCTTGCCCAGACTCCATGTTAAGGGATCTGCACGTAAAAAGGCATTCGACCCACACAGCACAATGGTAAATCCCTCTTTTATACCTGCGGGAATTAGGGTTTAGGGTAGCCAAGGGCCTCTTCCAAACTCAGAGCCAGAGTTGCACTCAGTGCGATAGCAGTCTGGGCTCCTCGCCACCCTTCACGCCCTCCAGCACTGAGTTCCTGAAGTGTGTGCAGTGTGATGAAAAATCCTACAGACTGGTTGCACCATCAGCTAGTGACTCCCAGGGTCGGCGTTATCAAGAAGCTGGAACTGGAAGTACGTTTCAAGTCCAGGTGTCTCGATATGGGATAGAGGTATCTCCCAGCAGCATCTCAACTGCTGTGCCAAGTGCCCACCCAGGTGTTTCTTCTCAACACTTTGGAGGTGAGTTAAGCTGCTGCTCTAAGTGTTGGTAATATCCAGCTCCCTGCTAATGTGTCTAGGAAAGCAGCAGAGAATGGTCTAAGCACCTGGGCCCTGCCACCCCGGAAGAAGACCCAGATCGGTCTCTGGCTTCAGTTTGGATCACTGCAGCCATTCGGGGTGTGAATCAATGGGTGGAAGTATGTTCTTTCTCACACACTATCTTTCAAATAAATAAATGCCTAAAAAACTAATAATAAAAAAAATAGGGGCCAGCATTATGGCACATCAGGTAAAGCCACTGCCTGGGGCACAGCATTCTGTATGTGTAAGTGCCAGTTTGAGTCCAGCTTCCTGTTCATGTTCCTGACAAAGAAGCATCCATGGGCAACCAGATGAAGCTCCTGGCTCCTTGTCTAGGGGAGTGAGCCAGCAGATGCAAGATCTCTCTTTCTCTGACTTTCCATCTCTCTGTAACTCTGCCTTTCAAAAATAAATCTACCAAAATCTTGTATTTCAAAAATGACTCCTAGGCAACACTGCTTCTCATCTTCTGCACATGACCTTCTAAGAACAACAAGAGGAAGTATTTATAAACGAAGCTTTAATATGAGCAGGTGTGTTTTGACTGTCGGGGAGCTGTAACGACTGGAAGCGGCCGACACCGGAAGGACAACAGGACGCTTGTGGTCGGGTCACACGGCACTTCCGCACCCAGGTAACACTGGAATGTTCCACTGCAGCAGTCACTTGAACAATCGGAACTTCTTCAAGTATTGGCTCACCTCCTCCTTGGGGTAGGGCCGGAGTGCAAGGCAAGTGGCGACGTTTTCGGGCTGCTCAAGCCACAGCACATGGTCGATGTCTCTCTGGTGCAGGGTCTGCGCCAGCTCCCGGAGGACAGTCTCATCCGAGGCCTGCAAAGGGCAGAACCAGGGCCGGGAGGAAAAGCCCAGTGAGGGAGGGAAGCTCCAAAGACCACAACAAGCCCCCGACCTGACAATCAGGGAGCCCAGATTGACCTACACCCCACCTGGCTTGCCACTCATTCCCTGTGATTCTGGGAAAGCTACTAAGGGCTGGAGGAGATACTTCACTGTTTATAAATGGAGACGACTTCCTTCCCACTCCTGAAATGCTGCATTCAATCTCACAAATCCTACTTTGGTGGCACAGTGGGCTAAGCCACCAGCTACAGTGCTGGCATCCCAAACAGGCACTGGCTCAAGTCCTAGCTTGGTCCACTCACTTGTGATTCAGCTCCCTGCTGGTGCACCTGAGAACACAGCAAAGGATGGCCCAAGAGTGTGAGTCCCTGCACTTACGGGGGAGGCCCAGGAGGAGCTCTGGGCTCCTGGCTGTGGTCTGACCCAGCCTGTACACTGCAGCCATCTGGGGAGTGAACCAGCACATGGCACACCAATCTTTGCCTGTTTCTCCCCCTCTCTTACTCTGTCTTTCCAAAAAAAACAAACAAAAAGACAATTGTGCTGCAGAAGTTGTCTAACTCCCTCATGGCAGGTGCTGGTAACAACCATCACAAACTCTTCAGCCGGCTCACTGGAAAGATAGTTCCTAAGTCACAGGTCCCATTTTCCTTCCCTCCCACCCAACGCAGCCTTTAAGAAGTTTTTCCTTCGGCCCGAGGGCTCCCACTTGTGGAAGAGGAGGCACGCACACCTGTCCCTAACAGCCCTCCTTCTACAGGTGTTTCCGGATCATCCTTACCGCCCATTCCAGATGTCCACTAAGGAAATACTAAAACTGTTACCCAGGAAATAGACAGATTTTCGCCTAAGACAGCAGAAGCCACGGAGACAACCAGAGGCTTCTTTCTGCAGGCTGGGGAGCACCAATTGAGCCCATGTCCTGGGTGGAAGACGAGTTGCCCTGCTTACTGCACCGGGCAGCCACACAGTCCCACAACACCCTCGAGTCCAGCGGAATCTCAGCCACCCGCGGACTGTGCGAAGTTACACAAGTCAGCTGGCGTCTGCCTTCCTAGTGCTAATCGGGACTCAGTGGCTCCGGCTTAGTCCTGGTACCCGGTGGAGCACACGGTCCACAGTTGGCAGCAACATACGGGCTGATCCAGACACTGCTTTACGTCTGCTGGTCCTTAACCGCTACAGCAGTGACTCCTAAGTCTCCCACCTCCTACTTCATACTTAAAGAGCCTGACTTCCAATTTAGAATGTTAAGCATTCGTGTCCAGCAGAAGATTCAAACGGCATCCAATCATGAGCCGTCTTCCATGCCACTAAACACGTTTCAGAAATACGCCCCCATGGAAGCCCACGGTGGCAGCCAGAGACCAATCGCGAGCGTTGTCAGCAAGTGCCACGTCTTAAAGCCCTGTCTTGTGGACTACCCTGGCGCAAAGCTCTCGGGGCACACACGATTATCTCCTTTGGATATGCAGTATTTCAGCAGCATTAGGGTCTGACTCAGCAGGAGAGCAGAAGGGCTGCCTGGAAGGCTGCAAACACCCTCACCGCTGTTCCTAAAGGTGCGCCCATTTACATGCTTGCTATCGCCTCCGCTTGGCTCCAGGTGCGCCATGAACACCTAAGTGCGTCCGTCGGGCCTCACTGGCAGTGAGGCACCTGACCCTTCTGGGCTGGCGGGCTACCCGCTGCACGGGTCCAAGGCCGGGGACAGGCGCGTCACGCTCCCGCCCACACAGGCGGGAAGCCGGAGGACGCCCTCACACTGGGGCCGAGCTCCACCGTTCACACAGGACAGTTCAACGCCCTTCTCCCAAACCTTTTTCCAACCCTGAAAGTGAGGGACGCTGTCCCCACGCCCCACCCACTTCCGGCCTCGGCCACCTCACCTCGAGGACCACCTTGCGCATGCGCCCCAGCTCCTGGAGGTAGGCTGCCGTGTGCGGGTGCTCACGATGGACGTGCAAAGCTGCGGTGGCTGCGTGGCAAGCTTGGGCCACCAATGCTCCTGCCGGCCAGGAGAGCGGAGCCTGAGACAGATCCTTCCGTAACACCACGTATTGTATCAGGACCTGCGGCTCCGCCCCTGAGGTCGCCATCTTCCTGACGGACCGAAAGACCGGACCTACTGCCCGGTGCATGCTGGGATTTGGGAGGAGCCCTGGGCGCCGCCATGTTTTTGTACGGCTGGAGCGCAAAGCACGACGGGAGCGGCGACGTTAGTTTTGAAGGCCGAGACGGCGGCAACTTATGTCCGCCTCTGGCGAACGGAAGGAAAAGAGGCGCTGAGACTAGTGACCGACGTGACCATCCGACGTGGAGGACGGAATGGTCTTCTAGAACTTCTTCGGCGTGCAGGACAGCGAAGCAAAGCTCCCGTGTCCTCGGGAGCGCCCCGTGCTGAGGAGGTGGGCGTGGACACGGCCTTCCGAACCCGGGGTTTTGGGGATGGAGGGGCAGGGGCAGGGTCACCCGGCGGGGGCCAGGGCCTGAGTGCCAAGGGTCTAGCTGCGTGGGAGAAGGTGGACTTAGCTGCTGTTTCCTCCACCGGCAGGGCCGTCGTGGTCCCCGTTGCCGCTGGCCTGCACAGCTTCCTTGGGAAGGCTTTGGAACTCGGCGATGGAGCCGGCGAGCGCTGCGGGTCTGGATGGCGAAGGTGGAGGAGGAGGTAAAGGGAAGGGAAGGGTTACCCTGTTGTGCCGGAATTTGAAATCCCCAGAAAGTCATCGAGTCTGAAGTCGGTGCCAAGGCATAAAGGTGGTTTATTCAGGTTAACCTAGGTCTCCCAGCCACCTCGCCCAGCCCAGCAAGGCTGGGCGGGGGAGGGGCAGCCGCAGCCGAGGCTGCTGCAGGATCTGCAGGGAGAGAGAGCAAGAGCCCCCCCAGTTCTCTTATATATTTCAGGCTATTAATTATACAGTCATGATTTAGCAGGCTTCTATTGGTGAGTTTGAAGCAAGCAACTTTCAGAATCTTATCAAACACCAGGCACACCTCCTTGAGGACTGGTCTGCCTACGTGACCTGCCAGGTGTCCTGCCGGGTGTCACATAGACTATCAGGCCTGAGGTTCACACAGCCCCCAGCCAAGCCGTTAAGGCAGGAATTACAAAAGGCAGAAAACATCTAGGTTCTTTCTTCAACCCGCCCCTGTTCCCCTTCCCCCCATTCCCCCGGTGGCGGGAACTAACAAGGACTACCCAAGGGGCAGCTGGTGCCAAGCCAGGACACCTCAGGGCGTCTCCGGGCCCTCGCGCCTTTTGCACCTGTGCCCCGTGTCTGTGTTGGGCTCCCAGGTTGCAGGCTGGAGAAGTCTGTCGCCTTTTTTTTCCCCGATGATTTGCACCTGTATGCCTTCGTTACCGCCCAGTGAGGGCCGCTGTGGGCTTCCCGCCCGGCGCTGCTGTGGGTGCTGTGCTCAGCGTGGGGATGGGGGGCTATTCCCTGGGTCTATAAGTCTGCGTGCTCTGGGGCTAGGAGGACTTGGTTGTGGGGTTGATGAGAGTTGCCATTTGGTTTTCCGTTTGGTTTGCGTCCGAATTTCTGTCCACGAGTGCTGCTCAGCAATATTTGTCAACACTCGCTGTTGTTCTGTGCCTTCACAGTCCCCTGCCACTAAAACCCAGCCCTTGTTGCAAGCCCACCTGAAGGGTTACACACCAGTACTTTGGGAAAACGTGGATAAAACTCAGTATAGAAAAAAAAACTGTGTGACAGTTTGAAAAGCCTGTTGTGAGAGTGCATTTGGTGTCATATAAACGGGTAATCTTATCCCGACGATTAGCACTGAGATGTTGAGTAATAACACAGTATTGGTTCAGGTCGGTTGTTACTTTACAAATTACCGTGGGTACTTAAGGTGTAGGTGACATGTGGCGGTCAGGGGTAACTCCATTCTCTGGGCCTCAATGTGTTTCTTTGGAAATGCAAGTGATGAGGTGGAAGATGGCGATCGTCAGGAGAAGGGTCGAAGGGTGATTCCGCAGATGCTTGCTCATCTGACACTGTTTGAACAGCTGGTGCCTGTTTAGCCCAATGACTGGGAGCTTGGCAAGTCAGAAGTGAGCATTGCGAACTCATTTGAAAGAAGCACAGGGTTTTCGTGGCAACCAGGAGGGGTTTGACCTTTTAGGGGACAGAATTGCCTGGCTGAGATGCAGTTGTCACCTACAAAGGGAGACAGTCCTGTCCTTTTTTCGGACAGCAACGTGACACAAAGCTGACAGCGTTTGCAACTCCTGTGTGTCTCCGAGCTCTGATAGGTGTTTGTGGCAGGAGAGTGGAACTCATCTTTGAGAGCATCACTTAACAGCCTTTGCTTTCATCATTTTAAAGTGGGGGAACTTTCATCAACCTGAGCGCCGAGAGCTTTATATCCGTGAAGTAAGATTCTGACTCCGTGTCTCCTGTAACAACCTAAGCTGCTCGGTGCCGCTTCCACATCAGCCGCTAGGGAGACAGTTGTTTTGGTAAACTGTGGACAAGGGTGTGTGCGTAATGTCAGCACAATGTAAATAGCATAGTCCCTGCCCCATAGTAATTCCCTGCAAATTATTGGATGCAATTTGCAAGTTAGTCCATGCTGATAAGGACTGACTTGCTGAAACTATTTTCCCCAGAAGTGTGTGTTTTGCAGTACTTCTTTTCTTTCTTTTGCTTTTTTTTTTTTTTGAAATTTATTTTTATTGCAAGGTCAGATATACATAGAGGAGGAGAGACAGCGAGGAAGATCTTCTGTCTGATGATTCACTCCTGAAGTGACCGCAATAGCCAGTGCTGCGCTGATCTGAAGCCAGGAACCAGGACCCTCCTCCAGGTCTCCCATGCGAGTGCAGGGTCCCAAGCCTTTGGGCCGACCTAGACTGCTTTCCCAGGCCACAAGCAGGGAGCTGAATGGGAAGTGGAGCTGCTGGAATTAGAACTGGTGCCCATATGGGATTGTGGCACGTTCAGGGCGAGGACTTTTTTAGTCTCGCCCTTTTTTAGCCACTAGGCCACGCCACCAGGCCCAGTAATAGTTTTCTGTGCATGAATCGTAAAGGACCTTCATGCCCAGTAGCATCGGACCTTGTCCATTTACAGAGCAGTTACTGTCCGTCATACATTGTGCCAAATATTAAGACACAAAATGAATAGAACTTGAGGTTTGGTAGCTTTCAAGATACAGTGGGAAAATAAGAGACCACTGAGCTGCTGATACCTGGAGCCCATAAAGATGATGTGTTTGAAGTGTGTTACTCTTTAAGCTGATTAGATGGTGTGTTTGAAGTGTGTGACTCTTTAAGCTGATTGCTGTGTTTGGATTTGCGCAGGTAATGATGCATGTAACGGCCGAAAGAGCCCATAGAATCGCTGGCTTTTCTCTGGTTCGGGGTCCAACCTCTCCTTGGCTGGCTTACGTGCCCCAAGAACGGTCTGACCCCAGGATGCTGGAACAATAAAACTGCTTGCTTTTCCATTACCAGTGAAGCATTTCCGGGGAATTGGCAAAACCAGACCCTAACAAAAGTTGATCGCCTCCAAGGTTCTGAGAACCATGATATGGTTCAATGTAAAGACCAGATATGGCTTCATCAGCCGACATAACATCAAAAAAGACGTTTTTGTTCATTCGACCACTATTAAGAGCTACAATCTCAGCAGTTACCTGTGCCAGCCTAGGAGACGGCAAGACCACAGAGTTTGATGTGGTAGAGAGCTGGACAGGCATGCGGGCTGCCAATGTCCCAGGCCCCGGTGGAGCCGCAGTGCAGGGCATCAGATACATGGCTGAGCAGGGCCATTCTTGGTGCTGCCCACTATGCAGGGCTTCTGCACAACAGCTCAGACGGTCACCTCAGTGGCAGCACTGAGGACTCAGGCAGCACTTGGGAAGGCCAGGCCCAAGGTTGGCGAACGCTGCCATCCTGCTACCACAGAGACCCTACTGGTGCAGAAGGCAGGATTCCCACACTGTGCTGTGAGGTAAAGGGGTGGGAAAACACCAGGTGCACAGCCACGAGCAGGGAGAAGACACCCAAGGCCAGCAGCCGCCTCTTGGGTGCTCCCCATGTAGCCAGCCAGACAGCCCATCGCACTGCTCACAGTCCACCCTCTCCCGGAGCAGTGTAGGGAAGCCCCGGCTTAACATCAGCACCACCGTCCCCTTTACTCAAACAATGAAAGTCAACTCAGAGAACAAAAGGTCTGCAATGAAGCTCCTCAGCGTTTATTTATGATGATATTTTGGACACTTAACCAGACTAATAGAGTTAATTACATTCATTAGGCAACTGTGTTTTACACAAGAGTGTTTTTATTACAAAGTCAGATATACAGAGAGGAGGAGAGACAGAGAGGAAGATCTTCCTTCCGATGATACACTCCCCAAGTGACCGCAATGGCCGGTGCTGCGCCGATCAGAAGCCGGGATCCAGGAACCTCCTCTGGGTCTCCCACATGGGTACAGGGTCCCAAAGCTTTGGGCCATCCTTGACTGCTTTCCCAGGCCACAAGCAGGGAGCTGGATGGGAAGTGGAGCCTCTGGGATTAGAACCGGCGCCCATATGGGATCCCGGTGCATTCAAAGCGAGGACTTTAGCTGCTAGGCCACGCCACTGGGCCCAATCCAATTCTTTTAGTAGAGGACAAGCTAATTCATGTGTTAATGCATTCAAAAGTATGCAACAAGAACTGGCCCCGTATAAATACCCCCAGAAGAAGTTAGATAAAAACACATTTACACTTCTCTGCCTTGAAAGACAAATGGTCAATGTGTTTACTAAGAAGAAAAGTTTACAGTTTCATAAGAACTATCTACAGAAGAAGATCCTAACATAACAAAATGCAGAAAAAGGGCAGAGTGAAGAACAGTGAAGCAAGATCCAACGTGAAGTCATATGCACTTACTAGAGACTTTTGAAACTAATAAAAATTTTTAACTTTCCGCAGCTGATTCGAAAAATATTTGTAGACCATCCCCCCAAATGGTCCACTCACAGGACACAAAATGAGCTAATTTCTGCCCGGGGGTGGGTGTGGAATGAGTGGGGTGAGGAGTTGAATGTAGGGGTTTGTGAGGACCAGCCCTCTGGCATGACAGGTCAAGCATTCCACATGGGTACAGAGTCTAGTCCTGGCTTCGCTGCTTGCAGTCCAGCTCCCTGCTTGTGTGCGTGGCAAGCAGCAAGGATGAAGTAGGTGTTTGGGCCCCTGCCACCCACATGGGGGATCCAGACAAACTCGTGTCCCCTGGCTTCAGACAGGAACAGCCTGGTCCCTGCTGCCAGTTGAGCAATGACCTGCAGATGGAAGATCTGTCTCTCCTCCTATCCTTGCAATATGCCATTCAAATAAATATCTTTGTATATATGTATAAATGTCTTTAATTTGAGAGATAGATTTACAGAATGAGTAGGAGAGACAGATATCTCCAGGTGCCTGTTCATTCCCTATTGGCCACAACAGCCAGAGCTGGACCAGTCTGAAGCCAGGAGCCTGGCGTCTCCAAGTTTTTCACATGGGTGCAGGGGCTCAGGCCTTGACCTTTCCGCTGTTGCTTTTGCAGGTGCATCATAATAGGACGCCGCCATTGATGGCACACTCTGCCTGTCAGTTGACAGCAGACAGGGCACAGCTGCACCCAGCCCTTCCTACCTCCTCTTGCACCATTCAAGGTAGTTGAAGGTGCGACAGGTGCACCCTGCCCCTCCTTCCTTCCACACCATTCACAACTGACAGCACAGAAATTACTCCTGAGGCTCCACACGCCTGATCCCTCCTGCCTCCTGTTGTGCCACTTTAGGTTAGTTAACTATAGGAAAACTTTGGGCTCTGGTAACTCCTTGCCTGCCTAAAACTTTGTACTGCATGGCTGTCGATCTGATGGAGGATGAGAACTTCAAAACCCCCTGACTTTCGCCACTCGGCACAGCAGCTCCTGGAGTATAGCAGTGTAGCAGGAGCTGCTGTCGCCAAGCTTAGAAAATAGACTTCTTCAGCTCTACACTTGTGTCCGGCATGGCCTCGCTCTCCTTAAGAGCATCAGCATGGAGCTGGTGAGAAGTGGAGCCACTGCAACTTGAACCGCCTTCCATCAGTGAATGGCGGTGCTGCAGGGGAGGCTTAATGCCATTCCACAACACTGGCTCCTCAGATAAGTATCTTTAAAAACCATTTTTGTGGAACTTGCAGAGCAAGAAGTCCACATTTATGACTGGATTCCTAGGCTTGTCGAGAACACCATGTAATCTTATGAGAGGTACTGACTTTGTTCTGAAGGTGCCGTAAAGGTTTTCCTGAGGAAATGCTGCGTGCTGAGTGCTGATGAGCTAGTATAATTATAGCTTGAGGTGGAGAGGGGTGGGGTGGGCATTTTCTGTAGGCAGAATCATGCTGGCTTAGCCTGCAGGGGGCCCTGTGACAGTGGGGAGGTAGGGGCAGCAGGTGACCGGCTTCAGGTGGCCCTGTGCCATGTCAGCCAGACTTTGGTATAGTCCTCCAGTGTGGAAAGGGGCAGGAATCTCGCACTAGACCCAGAGTGGTGGAGGCCTGGACAGCAGCAGTGGCAGTGCAGGTGGGGAGAAGTGGGCATTTGGGGATACCAAGGAAGTGAATTGAGTCAGATTTGGTAATAGTGGTGGTAAGGGTGGAAGACAGTTTACACCACTGGTGAGTGATGGGCTCTGTCGTTGAGGAGTTCAGAAGGGAGAAATGATGGATTTCGTCATGACGTGTTGAAGGTCTGATTCCTGTAGGATTTCCTGGTAGACATAGGGAGAAAGCAGGTAAATCAGGAGAATCCAATCTCCTAAGCCAAAACTCCAGAGAGTCACACAGGCTGCTTGCTTGTAGAGGGGCTTCAAGGCTGTGCGTGTCAGAGATTTCTTCCGGTGAGAGATGTTGGAATCCCAGCAGTAAATGCTCAAAGAGAAGAGGATGAGCCAGCAAGCAGGACAGTTCAGCAAGCTGGAATGTGGCCATCACAAAGCTGTCTGGTTTGCTGCTCTAGTGCTGGCCCTGAAGTAGCTGCAGAGGCTGGTGTGATGGGATTCAGGGCCAGCTATTTCTGGAAGTCGGTGAGCAGTGGCATCACATGTTAAGGAGGTGGGAGGCGAGGGGAACTAGAACAGTGCTCACTGGACTAGCAGCGTGGACACCCGTCTTGATCCAAGAGTTCTTTTATAGAATGGGGGAGAGGGCAGTTTAGACTTCTACATCATTCAGAGATTAAAGATCTGGGATTTTATTTGTTGGCTTGATTTATAGGTTATGGATATCAGCAATCCCTTTGGCCTTAAAGTTCTGGAAAAACTGTCGGGCTCGTGTTGCAGCATAGTGCATAAAGCTGACACCCATAGCACCAACATCTCACGTGGGTGCCTGTTCAAGTCCCTGCTGCTGCTCTTCTGATCCAGCTCCCTGCTAGTATGTCTGGGAAAGCAGGGGAACATGGCCAAAATCCTTGGGTCCCAGCACCCAGTGGGAGACCCAGAAGTGGCTCAGAACAACCTAGTTCTAATCTCTCCCTCTTTACCTTCCCCTCTTTAGAATGGTAACTGTCTGCTCTGCCTGTCCCTGAGATGCCTGCTACTGGGGTTCGAGGCCCTTGGCCTCCTGTGAAAGCCTCCTTGCACTTCCCTCAGGTGTTCTTTCTTACCTGGAAAGACTCGAGATGCAAGCAAGCCTGTCCCATGAGAAGTCGGGCAAGCTGCAGAGGACTCAGACAGAGGCAAATGCTCTCAGAAGCAAGATCCAGAAACTGAGGCAGCTACGCAATGAGCTGAAGGCTGAGGTGACACGGCGGCAGGCCCTGGTGAGTGGCAGGGCTGGGGCTGGCCTTCCCCAGGTGGGAAGGGAAGTGCGGTCTGGGGTGGGCGTGCTCTGAGTGTGCAGTGTCCTCATGAGCACGTGGGGTCTTTGTGCTGCACATCTTCGGGCCTGCAAAGTGTCTGCTCACCCTGCTGGCAGTGTTGGCACTGCTGATGGGCCAGGCCAGTTCGGCCTGATAGATTTGGCTTGCCCTGTCCGGGCAGGTGTCTGCAGTCCCAGTATGGCTCAGGCATCTTCCTGTCCCCCAGACTCGGAACCTCTCAAGGAACTCAAAGCTTCTCTGGGTTCAGTTCTCTGTGGCCAGGGGCCAGCTGGCCGACCTGTCAGTTTCCTTCCTCCTTGCTTTGCCACAGGGTTGCACTGTCCATGTTAGTATTTACCTGGTGGTTTGGATCCCAGGTATTAGCGTCATCTGTTCATGTCTGTCGGCTGGCATTTGTGCCTTCCCATCACCTCCTGTGTGCTGAGGGGCCACTTGGTCATCACCACCTCACTGCCCATCTCCCAGAGTACAGGCCGGCCTCCTTCCTTCCTTTTGTTACAGTGCATGTAAAGTGCAAAGAGCTGGTGAATTTTTCATAGGCCACCAGCAGCACTAACTCCCCTGTGAGCCAGCACAGCCAGGCCCCTTCCACACAGGTGGAGACCTAGAATACAAACATCACAGTGCCCCAGAAGTCTCCTCTCGGCCACCATGCTCTTCACTTCTCCCAGTGTAACACAGTTCTCATTTCCGTCCCCAGACACTGGTTTCTCCCTGTTTTTGAACTCTGTATGTGTAAAAAGTATGCTGTTTTTGCACCTAGCTTCTTGGACTAAATGTTGTGTCAGGTTCATCTGTCCTGGTGCGTGTAGCAGTCATTCTTGTTGTGGTACCTAATTGTGTTTGTGAATATTCATGAATTTGCCTTCCTTGTTGCTTCTGATGCAGGATTATGTGGCTTGTTCAGCTATGGATGTAGCTTCTGTGAACATTATTGTTCTATCTTTTAGTGTAAAAATAAGTTTTCGAGTATGAGTATGCCTGGTAGAAATGCTGAGTCATAGGTTGTACACATTCATTTTAGTAAATGCAGCCAGTGTTTTTGTTTAAGATTTATTTATTTGGAAGGCATGGGGGCAAGGAAGGAGAGATCTTCCTTCTTCTAGTTCACCCCAAAACGCCTACAACAGTCAGTGCTGGGCTAGGCAGCAGGCAGGAGCCAGGAACTCCCTCTGGGGTGCCCATGTCGGTGGCCAGGGTCCAGGTACTTGGACAAGGAGCTGGATTGGAACTCAACTTGGCACCTTGGTATGGAGTGGCAGTATAGCTATCACTGAAAAGAATAGTAACAGACTTTCAAACTACTGGGTCAACCTCCCAATTGGTTGCAACAGAACAGGCTGAAGCCAAGAATTCGGTCCAGGTCTCCTACTTGGGAAGTAGGAATTCAAATACTTGGACCATCATCTGCTGCTTCCTAGGAACATTAGCAGGAAGCTGGATGGAAAGTAGGATAAGCAGAACTCAGACAAGCACTCCGATACGGGATGTGGTGGGCCCAAGTGGCTGCTTAACGTGCCGCGCCTCATCACTTACCCTAACAGATCTTCCTCTCAAATTGGACAGTTTTAAGTTCCTCTATTTATGGGCTTCTGAAAATCAAAACAGCACATCAAAATTTCCTTTTCTGCAATTCAAACTTGAAAACCAGGAAATCGAAATATTTACCCTAATTTATTAGCCTCTACCCCAAATACTCAATTTTTTTAAAAAGTTCCAGTCACACAGATTACATTGCACTTCAAAAAGATGTCACGGAACTCAGGTTATCAAAACCACTGGAGGGCCTGGCGTGCTAGTCTAGCAACTCAAATCCTCGCCTTTTACTCCTGGGATCCCGTATGGACACCATGTCATGTCCCCGCTCTCCACTTCCCATCCAGCTCCCTGCTTGTGGCCTAGGAAAGCAATAGAGAATGGCTGAAGGCCTAGAGAGCCTATACCTACATGAGAGATCTCAAGAGGCTCCTGGCTCCTGCTAGGATTGGCTTAGCTCCAGCTGTTGCGACCTTTTGGGGAGTGAACCAGTGGGCAGAAGATCTTTTTGTCTCTCCTCTTCTTGTATGTCTGCCTTTCCAATAAAAAGTAAATCTTTAAAAAAAAAAAAAAAAGCCACTGGAACACTAGTCTAGCAGTACAGGAGTACTTCCTCTGTGTACTACACAACTTTGCCAGCAGGTGCGGCACAAGGTGGTGGCCCGTACCTAACCTGCCTGGGCCAGGATCACCTCCTGTGCTCGCCGTCTCCATGCCAGCCATGCCAGTACTGCCCCTGCATCCACGTGGCTCACTTCTTGCTCCCCTGAGCTCCCTTAGGACTGACTTTGCAGTGTTCTCTGGGAATCTGGAAGTGTCTGTTGAGCGGCATCTCAGTGTTACCAGCCTTTCTCTCCATGCAGAAAAGAGACCAGTGTCCTGGCCCCTCTCCTGCAGGCGCACAGCGTGGATTCGCTGGTGCAGGGGAAGGGAGCTTGGTGTAAGGACGAGATACTTTGTCAACTTTTTGGGGCACAGGAATGAGAGGCTGGATCCTAAAATGTCCTTCAGTGGACATCCAAAAAGATTCCTCGGTGAGGGTTGGGTTGAGCTTGTGATAGATCCGTGGTAATCTGGGTGACAGCTCGCAGGAAAAGATGTGTTGGACCTGGTCGGTCCTCCAGGGGAGCCTGAGACGAACTAAACAGCATGGCCAGGTCCTGGAATCCCAGCCTCTGGCACCAAGCTGAAACGAGCCATCCATCTTTGTCTCTTAATTAAAGTAAATAGGCTATGAACTTAGAATGTGTGGCTTATATTTGGCTCGCTGTCTTGTTAACCAGTTGTCCTATTTATTTTGTACAGTCAGTATTCTTTAAACTGTGAATTGTTTGGCTACATTGTTCTTTTTTTCTCATTTATAAGGATGTTTTTGTCAGGTATAGTTACAGATTGAAAATTTAAGATTTGTTTGAGGGCCTGGTGGTGTGGCCTAGCAGCTAAAGTCCTCGCCTTGAACATGCCAGGATCCCACATGGGCGCCGGTTCTAATCCCAGCAGCCCCACTTCCCATCCAGCTCCCTGCTTGTGGCCTGGGAAAGCAGTCGAGGTCGGCCCAAAGCTTTGGGACCCTGTACCCGTGTGGGAGACCCGGAAGAGGTTCCTGGTTCCTGGCTTCAGATTGGCGCAGCACCGGCCATTGCGGTCACTTGGGGAGTGAATCATCGGATGGAAGTTCTTCCTCTCTGTATATCTGACTTAGTAATAAAAATAAATAAATCTTAAAAAAAAAAAGATTTATTTGAAAGGCATAGTGACAGGGAGAGACAATTTAATATTTTATTTTACTGGAAAGTCAGTTATACAGAGTAAGATCTTCCATCCATAGTTCATTCTCTGCCAGCAGAGTACATGGGCGTCTGACCTTGACCTGGCTGAGGTGGCCAGTTTCCCATCTATCCCCACTCCTGGGCGTGTAGCCTGGTTGGGGCCCTCAGTGTGCTGGGGACAGGTTTGTTCAGTCCCCCCCTCCTCCCATGGTCCTGAGCTCTACATTTGGTTCTGCCAGAATTTCTTAGCCTTTGGCAGATTCAGTCTTTTTTTTTTTTAGTTATTTTATGAATTTGAAAGGCAGAATTAGAGGGAGAGACAGATTTTCCATCTTCTGGCTCAACCCCCCCCCCAATGCCAACAGTGGCAGGCTGAAGCCAGAGCCGCCCTCCTGTCTGCCGGGGTGGCAGGAACCCAGGTGCTCACGTCCTGTCCTCTGTCTTCCCAGGCATGTTAGCTGGGAGCTGGGTCAGAACAGCCAAGACGTGGAAGTGTTGCTCTGATCCAGATGCTGGCATTACAGGCAATGGCTTCACGTGCTGTGCCACAGCACCAGCTCCCAGAAGCTGCTTTCTGTTGGGGTACTCAGCACCATGCACATGCAAGTGGGTCCAGAACTGTGGAGCCTGCTGGTGGGCAGACCGCATGCGGAATGCTGGGCTCCCCTCGCTGTGGGATCCTGGCTCTCAGGAAGGCTGCTGTGGTAACCTAGTCTCCAGGGTTGGCTCCTAGATGGTGAGACTGCTTTCCCTGTGGGGCGTGTATCCTATGACAAAGCAGCCAGTGCTCCAAGGGGTCAGCTTCAGAGTGTGTATCTTTTGACCCAGCAGTGCTGTCCACTGGTGCCCCTAAAGCCTTGCCTGGATGCTTGCTCGCTTGCTTCTTGCTAGAGTGTCTTGCCAGCTTACATATCTCTTCTCAGAGGAAGGGCAGCCTGGTCCCACCTGCTGGGCCACAGTTACAAGTGCAGGCTTTGTACCGGCTCTGGGGACCTGCAGTCTGACCCAGACCTGACTCCCCAGCATCCTGTACTCACACCCTCTTCCTCCTCGCGTAGGCCTCTCCATTGCTACCCAGTTTTTCAGTGTTCAGCCAGCAGTTGGCAGCACTGACACACACTTGCTATGACTCAGCACTAGCTGGGCCCTACCGGGCTCACCCAGTGCTGTTACGTAATGGGAAACACTGCACCCAGCTCCTGCCCCATCAGGGAGGGCAGGCGCTCTGGGATGTCCCTATGTCACACCCGCTAGAATTCACAAAATGTCTTGCAGGTCCAAGCAGCCACTGCCAGCCTAGAACCTGACCAGACAGTGGGGATGAGTGAGCAGGAGGTCTTGGAAAGAAGATGGGAAAATGCAAAAGCCATTCTGCAGGCGTATCGCTTCACAGGTACTGGCATTTCTGACCTGGGCTAGCCCAACCTGCTGTCACCCAGTGGGTCAGATGGCCTGATGTCAGCGCCAGGCCTGGGCTCACATGGGGATCTGCCTCATACCAGCATACTGGCCATGGGTGCATAGACCTGACCCTGAGGTCAGCCTCTTCCTGCAGCACACTGACCTCATGGAGGCACATGGTCAAGACTGGATGGCATCTAGCTGGGACCATTCGCTTTGGCACTTTGTGCGGTAGACCCTGTACCCGAGCTTTCATTCCTTCCTAGTTTAAGCTGATGCTCAACAAGCTGAAGCCCTTCAAGTGTATTTCATGGAAGTGGGAGAGTCCTCCCTGAGCTGGGCCAGAGGACTGGGGCAAGAACTGAGACAGTCATCAGTTCTTTGACTCTGACAAAAGCTCAGGTGAACTGCGAATTTCCCGTCATTGAGCTGATATTTTCTTTCCCGCCTTTCTTGTGTGAGCCAAGTAGAGAGGAAGAACCTAGAATGTCACTGAGCCACACCCAGACCCATGGGCACTGCTGGGCTGTCTGGAGGAGAGGGGTGCTGGCACGGCCCAGAGTCTGCTGAGCGGTGTCCTCTCCCTGGCTGCAGGACTCAGGGGACAGCTGACGAGCCGCGGAGTCTGCATCCACATCGACACGGCATTCGAGGATCATCTGCTGGATTCCTACTTCGTGGACCTTGTCCTGCAGAAGCCACTGCGTATCCGTCACCACTCGGTGCCAGCCTTCATTCCCCTGGAAAAGATGGCCGCTCAACACCTGCAGACCGACATCCAGCGCTTTCTCTTTGCTCTCTGCCAACACCTTAATGCCTATGCTGGGAGGAAGTACCAGGCTGATCGGCTGCAGGTAGCTGCTTGCGGCTGCTGATCCCATGATGGTCCCGAAAGAGGCCTCATTTGTTTTTTTGGTTTAAGATTTATTTATTTTTATTGGAAACTCAGATATACAGAGAGGAGAAGAGACAGAGAGGAAGATCTTCCCTCTGCTAGTTCATTCCCTAAGTGGCTGTAATGGCCAGAGCTGCGCCAATCCAAAGCCAGGAGCTTCTTCTGGGTCTCCCATGTGGGTGCAGGGTCCCAAGGACCTGGGTTGTCCTTGACTGCTTTCCCAGGCCACAAGCAGGAGCTGGATGGGAAGCAGGGCCACCAGGATTAGAACTGGCGCCCATATGGGATCCCAGTGCATACAAAGTGAGATCTTTAGCCAGTAGGCTACCACCCTGGACCCTCCTTTTGTTTCTGAAATGTTTCCTAGCTGAACCAGAGGGAAGCGTGAGCATTACCTGATACTTGTTTCTTGTGTATGTCTACTTCCTCTTTTCACCCCGTTCAAACTAGATGGTGTGGAACCGTGGGCACTCATTAAGAGATGCTGCCCTCACGTGGCGTTCAAACACCTGTGACAGGGCAGTGGAGTGCATGGTTTGTGGGGCCTGAGATGCAGGGTACCTCACCATCAGAACGCAGTCCTCTTCCCCCAGAGCAGGGGTGAGGAGCCTTCGGCCACAGGCCATTAGAATGTTGGCCACCTCATTTGTGGGCAGAATTATTAGCTGAAAAGTTAGCCTGCTGTGGATTTAGTGAGTTGTAAGTCTTGCCTGTGGTTGTCTTGGCAGACCAGAGCAGGTAATTTTGTAAGCCATGTAAGGCCCACGTGGCCAGATGTTCCCCACCCCTGCACTAAACCAAAGCCAACCTTCTTAGGGCTGCAAATGAGCTGTGGTTGGGTGAAGTATATACAGAAAATGACACATGACTTCAAGTAGCTTGCAGCTTCACCTGTATGTGGACGCCCCCAGCTGTCAGTGTAGACGTGATACCCCCAGCCACATGCAGGCACATCAGTGCCATTCCCGGCCACTTCCTGTGGCCCTTCTAGACAGCCCCCAATGCGGTGGCCATGAAGAACCCTTCAGGAAGTCACCAAGTTTGCTGAGTTGTAATGGGTGCTGCTTGGGTGGGCAGGTGGCAGCGTGGCGGGAGCCATAAGCGTTGCATACTCTGTTGTTCCTTCCCTAGGATGACTTTGCAGCCCTTCTCACCGGGCCCCTGCAGAGAAACTCACTGTGCAATGTGCTGTCATTTACTTACAAAGTGGACTCGGGGGCTCAGTGTGTCCCCTTTTCTGCTAGATTGCTCTACAGGGACCTCACGGGCACGCTCCCCACGGATGTCACCATTGCATGTCTAGGTAAGGGGAGGGGAGAAGACACAGTCCACTCTGGTTTATTCAGCTCACCTGAGACAGAGGGAGGATGGGCAGAGGGTCCTGGGGGCCCCCAGGAGACACATTGTCCTGGGGGTGCACTTGTGTGTCCTCCAAAGTGAGGTACATGCACAGTGAGTGTTGCCCGTTTCTCCCCTCCATGCCAGTGTCCAGGGCAGTGTCTGCTCGCACAGGCCTGTTGCTGAGCCGTGCGTGGAGCCCACACTCACTGTCCTGCACAGCCAAAGGGACTGGGCAGATGTGAGCACACTTGGCTCTCCAGATCGCTCCACGTGGGGATGGCAGGGCTGGTGGACTTTACCAGCCTGCTTCTGTTAAACTTGTACCTGGGAAATGGTAAGGGGGAAACAGCTATTGGGAGGCAAACATTCAGGCTGCCCCAGGTTTCACACCCTAGGTATTCAGAGCTCTCTGGACCGAGTCTAAGTTCTCACCTCAAAGAATTACCCTGACCCACTGAAGGGCAGCCCCGGTCAGCCCTGAACTAGAAAGGAAAGCCGGGTGCACCGATCCTGAGCAGGGGCGGGGTGGGTGCGGGCCCCCGCGTGCTCAGTGGCGGGACCTTCCCTTCCAGGGACGGAAGGCTTACCCAGCTCATGGGAACGACGGCGAGCAGCGCACAGGACGCTCTTCTCCATGAAGCCCCTCCACCAGGTTTTTGCTTCCTTTGCAAGAGGAGAGAAGCTGGACCTGAGCCTCACCTCCTGAAATGCCGCTTCCATTGGGAGCCCGTGGGAGGAAGTGAGTGAGGACGACAGCGTCCCAGGCAAAGCTCAGCTGATGAGAAGAAACACCACGTGTTCTTCGGGGTGGTGAGGCCCAGCTGGGAGCATGTGTGCAGTTCCCCCTCACTGCCCGTCACTTGGTATTCACAGTACTGAGCTGAGAGCCAGAAAGGCTTGTGGGCCAGCGAAGGCAGCTGCTTGGACTGAAGAGCATTTCCTTCTTTCATGTCCGTGAAGCACTCCCACCTCCCTTTGCTGAGAACGCACAGCGGGTAGTGTGCTGTTCCCTGCGGCGCTTCAGGAACGCGGGGAAGAGCGTGAGTTCTGCCTGGGAGCTCAGCCAGTCTCTCCCCTGCCGCCGGGGCACCTTGTGGCCCTCTGCCCAGGGCTGTGTGAGACTTCAGTCTAACGCAGTCGTGCAGAGGGACAGGGTGGGGACAGAGGACAGAGCTGACAGACTTCCACATGCTCATGTTCAAGTGGAATAAAGCTTTTAATAAAACAGTCTTGTTATTTATCAATACCTGTAAGTTCTCTTAAAGCAGTAGCAAAGGCGACTGTAGCAAGAGCTCAATCAAAAGGCAAGGCAACATCAGAAAGTGTGTGTTAACAGAAGGTTAAAAATATAAATGTAGAAGATCTGTTCATAGATTTTTTCTTTCAGAAATTACCCCCTCCCCGACCAGGTGAAAGGAAATATTGCACTTTCTGCGCTCGTGACTAAGGTGACAGGGTTCCAGAAGAACCTTTCAAGATTATCAGGAACAACAGGACGAGCTCCCCCCAGCCTGCCTCGCATCATCTCCAGGTAAGCCCTCTTGGAGGGTGGCGGGCTTCGCCCCAGGACTACACGCCCCTGACCCCTACGCTGGGGCAGCTACAGGCACACTCGGAGACCACGCGGCCACCAACAGATGAAGGCTGGAGAGAGTTCAACCTAGAGTCTATGGAGTGGGCACGCTGTGGCCCGGCAGCTGTCGGTCCCAGGTTCCAGGCTGCCTCGCGGCCCGAGCACAGGTCCTCCCCTCCCTTCTGGACTGGCCGGCCTGCAGCTCTTCAGGGGTTGTCTACCACCTGGTGGGGCAGTGTCACCGAAGAGCCATTAGGGTAGGCCGCTGGCTTGTCCCGCCCCTTGAGGAAGAACGTCAGCAGCTCCCCTTTGCCCTTCACAAAGATGGGGCCCCTCCTCACAAAGCGGAAGCCATACTCTCGCAGGATGGCTTGTGTTTCTTCCACCACCTGTGGGACAGAGCAGGGTTTGAGACCTTGGAACCCAATTGCCCTGATCCACACTAGACCTGTCTCCCCCAGGATAGGTTTGCCTGGAGCCTCTGCTCTCCCAGAGGCGTGGGTGATGGGGGCCAGAGGGCAACGCTTTGTTCTCTGCCCTTCTGTCCCCTTGCCCATTCCCAGCAGTACCAGGTCAGACAGCTAGAAGCTGACCTGCCAGGGGCTCATTCCAAGCCACAAGCAGAGTTCTGGCTTGGCTGCCTTGTTAGTGCACAGCCCAGCCCGCACTGCCCCAGTCCATACCTGAATGTTGCCCATGACCCCTGTGGACTCCATTCTGCTGGCCACATTAACCGTGTTGCCCCAGATGTCGTAGTGAGGCTTCCGGGCTCCGATGACCCCAGCCAGGACTCCTCCTTTGTTCATGCCTGGGGTGGAGGCAGGAAGTTGACAGCCACACAAGATCTCACAGCCGTCCCCTTACAGTCCCCCAATTCTGGTAGACTGTCACCTGGCCCCCATCATCAAGAGCCTGTGTAACAGGCTAAAGCGTTAGGGGGCTGGTGATCAGCTTCCCTAACACCTGGTATGGCAGTTTCTGTCCCCTTGCCAGCACATCCCATAGGGTGGGTCTGACCAAACACCCCACCGCTGACCTCAGGGAGGCAGGCCGCCCTGATGCGGTGGATGTGGCCATGCTGTTTGATCACCTTGAGGGGACTGAACTGGCAGTGCTTCAGGCCTTCTGGCTCCTGCCCTTCCCACTCAACAGCCGCAAGTCTCCTTGTGCTCCTGCACCCAGCCTTCAGCCTTACCTATACGCAGCATGAAGTTGTTGAAGGACTGATTGTTGATGTTGGTCAGTGTATCCTTCATGGCGAGAGCAAAGTCGGCCAGGTCGGCCAGGTGCTGCCAGCGCTCCTTGTCTGACTTTTCTTCCTAGGCTCAAGGAAGCAATTCAAGCATTGGCCATTGCCCAGGCCCATGGTCAAGTCCTGTGCCATGCCATCAACGCCACCTGGCCACCCGCCCCGGGCAGCAGCCTTCTGAGGCAATGAGAGGCAGTGCTGCTGGCTGCTGTGTGTGGGCCTGAGCCTCCCATTCTGCCGGCTGCCCTCGGCCCGTCTGCAGTAACCTCATCCATGAGGTCGTGATGCGATCAGACACTTCCAACAGCTCATGAACAGTGGAATTAGAGGTAAAATGTTTCGATGCACAAGGTTTTTTAAAATCTAGTCCTCCTTTTCTCAGAAAGAGCATTGTTCATGAGCTGTTGGAAGCCGTCCTCATGACCACAGGAGGTGCGCTGTGAACAGGCCCTGCAGCTCCTCTCCCATCCTGGGAGCTAAAGAGCTGGCTGCACAGCTGTAGCACAGCACCTGTCTAGCAAAACGACTTCCCCATGATGTAGCTGCACGCACAGCTGCTGTCCCCACCACCCCCCGAGCCGTGAGGCCTCAGTCGCCCAAAGCCCAGGCTGTAGAACAGTAAGGGGCTTCTGAGGGCTGTCTCCTCGGCACTCACTCCCGTGTCCAGCCTGTGGGTGCTGACGACCCCTCTGTGCCCCAGTGCTCGGCGTCAGCTGCTTGTGACCTGCTGGCTCCCTGGAAACCACTGAGGAGTAACCCACCTTATTGGAGCTAGTGAAGCCATTGGTGTTGACATCTGGCGTGACTCCTGAAGCCGCCATATAGGTGCTGCCAATGGTTTTGATCTTGGTGATGACCCGAAATTTGGGATTGTCCAAGAGCTGAGGACAGAATTGAAAAGGAACTGCCACAGAGCATCAGAATCAAGCCAGGAGAGCTGTGCCTGCCACAGGGCCCCCTCCAGAACATCACAAGATGCTGCCTTATTCATCCCCCTGCCAGTCTGCCCTGTGAACCTGGACAAACTTCTACACCCTTAACCTGGAGATGAACTTGCCAGCACCTCCTTGGGGTTGTTGAGCCCATATCCAAAACAAGTTACTCAATAAATGTAGTTTGAGAGTGTTGGTTGATCAGTTAACCCTGGGAACTCAGGTGACTTTCCTTCCCCCTCTCTGCCCATGCAGCAGCAGATGGCTCCAGTCTGGAGTAACCACAGCTGTCTGACTGCCCAGGCTGTGGTCTGAGGCGGGTACTCACGGAGTCAAAGTCAGAGATGATCTCATTGAGGAAGCGCAGGCACTCAATGCCACCGTTGTTGATGCTCTCCTCGGTGTAGAAGTCAGCAAAGTTGGGCAGCGAGGCGAACATAACCCCGATCTCGTCATATGACTGGCTGTACAGCTCCTGCCAAGGCAGGGCTGCAGCGTGAGGACCAGCTGGCTGAAGACAGCCTGACCTGCTCAGAGCAGCTTCTCCAGCAGTGAGGAGGAAGCCCTGAGTGGCTGGGACCCATGCTGCCGCCCCTTACAAAAGCCTGGCAGATGAGCCCCAGGACAGCTGCCCGTCAGGTCAAGTCTGTCCCTGCCTTGGGACAGCCTCACCTCATCCCTCTTCTTGGACCCCAGGAAGTGGCGCGCCACGTGCTCGGGCAGCATGTTGGTGACCAAGGCCTCGTTCCAGCGTCGCATCTCGTTCACACGTTCCTTCTGGTCATGGACTTCCATCTTCCACAGGAACAGGGTCCGCGCTAGCTTTTCCACCTGCAGGCATAGGAAGAGGCCCAGTGTGTGCTGGGAACTGGCCATCAGAGGACCAGATGGAGAGCTTCCCTTCAGGAAGACAGGCTCAGACAGCTGCATAGGAATCTCTGCCTCTGTTCACAGCAAGGATCCAAGAGGCCTCCTGTGTGGGAGCCATCCCGGACCCTGTGGCTGCAGGTCTGGGGGGGTGCAGTGGCAGCAGTGGGAACCTCCCAACCCCACAGAGCAAGCTTGGCCAAGAAGTACCTTGTGGAAGCTGCACTTCCCCTCTGTACCACTAGGGGGCGCCTGAGTCATCATCCATCCTCCCCCTTTTTTTCCTTTCAGCCAACAAGCAACTTGAGCTCTCTTCCCTGTTTCTTCTGGCTCTGCAGTCTGTGCATCAGTGACCATGATCCCCTCTGGCCAGGGTGAGTGCAGGGGCCACGCGCTCCAGTCAGGGAATACAGATTGATGCTTTCAGGACAGCACCCACCCTCCCCACAACCCCACCTTCAGCCTCCCGGGGATCACAGGATAGAGAACTTCATACTGCTAAGGGAGAAGCAAGTTTACAAGGAAGATGGTGGCTTGCCCAGAGTCCTGCACCACGGCGAGGACATGGAACCAGTATTCCTCAGGCACTGGGGGCTGCACCAGCCACGGGAGCGGGGGGAGGGGGGGTGCGAGCAGGCACTCACGTGTCGGGAGAAGTAGTAAAAGCTGAGCATCATGACCAACACCATTGCTGTCATGGAGTATTTGGAGGGCATCAGGGGCAGCCTGCCAAGCAGAGAGGAGAGCCGCTGCCGCCTCCTTGGTCAGGTCCTGCCCTGTCCCCTCAGGAGCGAGCACACAGCCACAGCGGCAGCCAGGGCATGACCCACGTCTCCCACATGGTGGCAGGAGCCCAAGGGGGTCATGATCTCAGCCCTACATTACTACACAGTTCCACACCATGTTCTGTGAGTTACCGTTGGACTCAATTTGCTTTTACCCAAATTTAAGTATTTTGCTATGACAATTTGTACGTCCTTAAGTACATCAGTGCCCTCCTCCCTGGGGAAGTGAGCGGCCCGTGGCCCCACAGGGACAAATCCTGGTGGCAGGCCCCTATTGCCCACTTGGCAGTCCTGCCTCTGCCCCCATACCATAACCACATGTCCAGATCTGCACCACACTCCTTCCTCTTCCCCAGCTCAGAAACGTGCCAGGGGCTGGTGCTGGACCACAGCACATTAAGCCATGCCTGTGACACCAGCTCTTATCAGCACACTGGCATGAGTCCCAGCTGGGCCTGGGTCAGCCCTGGCTGTCGTATCTATTCGGGAAGCAAACCAATAGCTGGGACATCTCTAACAGACAGCAGGCCACTCCCCTAATCACTGGCTTTTAGCATGGTGAGTTCCTAGAGCATGGGGCAGTCTTCCTTTTGGCCTAGAAGAGAGGCCCTTACCTGTCAGTACCATTGAGCCCAGAAGTGGCAAACACCTGCATCTTCTCCAAGGCCACCAGGGGAAAGCTGTGGAGAGAACTGCTCATTCAGGCCCCCTAAGCACAGAAGGCAGTGGTGTCCTAGTCTCCCACCCTCGGAGATGGAGAGGCCCAACCCTCAGGTCACAGCCCAACAACACCCACCATGCAGGCCTTGCAAGGAACCCCCAGACAGGAAGCCACCTCCCCACATGCCCATGACCTTCAAGTAGGCGAGGGACTCGGGCAAGGGAAGGGGAGTAGGGAGAGTAGACCTTACCTGTGCTCCTGAAAGCGCCTGTGGTCGTACTCATCAAAGACAGGGCTCCAGGCAGTCAGGTTGATGGCAGCCACGGTGCCCGTGATGAGCAGCATGAGCGTGAGCTTCACCATGTGGCTGACCTGCACCAGCATGATGGTGGCCACGAGGGACAGCACGGCCACATAGCTGTAGTACTTGGGGTTCTGCAGGCAGCCGCCCTCCGACTCTAGTGCCACCGTGCTGTTGCCAGGTAGCGCATAGTACTGCAGACAGCTGAGCTGAAGGCCAGTGACAAGCAAGGGATGAGCAGATGCTCAGATACAGCTGGTCCGGGCAGCATCCCTTCCCCTGGCTGCCCTCCTGGCTCCCAAGAGGCATGGGGAATGCTACCCAGAGTCGGCCATGGTCACAAAGCCTTGTTTGTAGTACCGCCCCTGGGTGTATGGACTCTGGGAGACTGGCCTTGCTCCCATACTCCTCTCCCCCTCCCCTGGGGCCACTCAGCCTCCCTCTCCTAAAGGTCTCAGGTCTCCCCTGCTACCCCCACTACAGCCTGTGCACTGCTCCCTCTGCTGGCCAGACATGGTCAGCAGTAAGGGCACCGTGAATTTAGCCCACTGTAGCTTCAGTCAAGTTCCCCTTGCCTGTGTGCAAAGCCTGCAGCTCCCCAACCCCGAACTTCTCAGGCCTCTAGATGTGACAGTGCCCCCCATATCCCCTGCTGTCTGCTGATGCTGGGAGTCCCAGGGGCAGCGGCTGTGCAGTGCCTGACTGCTCGCTCTGGCTGGTCCTGGGCTCCAGGACTCCAAGCCCTGCAGCTCTGCCTACTGCCAGTCTGTTGAGCTGATTTCATTCCTGTGCTGCAGCTGACAGGATATAACTTTTTGCAGACAGCCCTGGAGAGAACTCCTGTGTCCCAGGAGCTGATCGACGGGTGCATGCTGTGCCTGGAGGCTCTGAACACTTTTATCCTGGCTTCCAACTCCACTCATTTCTCCCCAGGAAAGCACCTGGCTGCCCCTGTCGGGACCTCCAGCTTCTCTACTAACCCAGCAGGAGTATCCACATTGCTAGTCTCTGGGGCCCACTTGGCCACACAGGAGGGGCCCACAGCCCTCATGGTCCCACTGCACCCACGCAGTGAGCCAGGAGTCAGGAAGCCACTTCTGTTCTCAAGGCTGCCCTACAGCAAGTGAATCAGCAGTGAAACTGGATCCCAACCACAATCTCCCAGGGTCAGTTCAAAACTCAAAGGAGCCAGTGTGTGTGACGCTTTGGGAGGGACAGGAGACAGCACAGGGAACACAACAGGCTCTCCCCTGGCTGAGGGAGAGCCCCCTTCCCCATGGTAGCACAACAGGCTCAGGGTCCAAGTGGCACAGCAGCAGGCTCAAGCTGCTGGCACAGAAGCCCCGCACAGCTGGGCCTAGGCTCGGCAGGTGCTTACCATGTCCACGACATTCGCCATCACCAAGATGAAGATGGCCAACATGGCCCAGGTATTCCTGGCCCAACGGGTCTGGTCGATCCACGTGGAAAAGGCCACAAGCTTCTTCGGGAAGGCCTGGAAGGCAGCGGGATTTCTGGGACTCTGAGCCTCCAGTGGTCCTGTCTCCTGCACCCTTGACCGCCACCAACTCAGGCTGCTCCCTTAACCCAAGTCTCAGGAACGGAAAAGTGGGGTTTGCTCATGAGAGGCCCAGGTGGGAAATACATATGCGTCCTGGTGTCTGCATAAGACCCTGGCCTCCAGAGTGAACTGAGTGGCCACCAGGACACTGTGGGCAGTGCAGACCTCGAGGGTGAGGCCAGGCAGGGCCAGAGCTCATGGCCACCCCTACTTCCCTGGGCCATGCAAATCACCTGCTGGATCCTTCCTGTGGAACCCTGCCTCTCCCTTGGCATTCAGAACAGAAACCCTGGCCAGCACTCCACTGCCCTTCAGTGTGGCTTTCAGGGTGCAACGACAGCTGGCTCAGGCCACCTTCGGGCTGGGGCGCCCCATATTTCACACTGAGGTTCCTGTTCCAAGCTCCAGCACCATGCTACTTCATCCCCAGCTCTCCCACTCCCCACCATCCCAGAGCCGGGAGTACCACGCCTAGGCAGTGGGCACAGAATGCTTGGCCCATCCAAACAGGTGATGGTGTGTCTATCAGGACTGGACAGGAGACCCAACTCCTCAGGACTTAGCCACTAAGGGGGTGCTGCCCACAGACAGCGGTCCTCACCCGGGGGAAGATGGCAGCCAGCGAGCAGATGGTCAGCAACAGGAGCAGGATCTCCCCCACCACGAAGGTCACATAATTTGTCATCAGCCTGTGACAGAGAGGTAAAGACTGGGGAGGGCCCAAAGGGGCAGTGAGCCTCAGGGAGAGGCCCAGGGCATGTGGAGAGAGGACGGGGGGGGGGGCCTGTACCCAGAATGTACCAGGGGGTGCCAGGGAGGTCGCTAACTATGCCTGCATAGGCCATGGCCAACAGGCCCTAGCTGGGCAGGGCAGGGGGCGGACACCAGCTGAGGGTAGGGCCTGGGAATGGGTCACCCAGGCTGCAGCCGTCCACTGGGACCTGGCCGGGCCAGGGAGGGTCACAGATGCCTGGGAAGAAATTCTTGGGAATGAGCAGTGAGAAGCGCCTGGAGCCAGGCAGGCAGCGACACCCAGGCCCTTGCTGTCCCCACCGAGCCCCTTGGGGAAACTGGGCCTCCAAGGCCAGCAGGGGATGTGTGGACGCCAGCCTGTCTTCCCAGGAGCCTGCCCCCAAATGGCTGTAAGGATCCTTATGTCCTTATGTCCATTGCTGTTGCCCCTTCCCAACTCCTCAGGGGCACAGCTCAGCTCTCACCCACCCCTGCAGCCCTGTATGTCTCTACCCTGCAGAGGCATCCCCCGAGAGTGGGTGTCCTGCTGCCTCCCACATCCCAGCTTGGCACCTCTCTTCCCTGCCTGCCTTACCCACCTGCGGGGCACTGGGGGCTCAGAGCTGGTGGATGTCTCCACTCGGCTCTCATCACAGCACAATGGCCAGGATCCCCCATCTGCCACCAAGTGGGGCACAGAGCTCCACCCTTACCCTCATGCCTGCTGGACTTGCTGGCACCACCCAGAACATTGTCTGTTCCCAGCATGGGGACAGTGGCCTTACTGAGCCATGTGGCAGATTTTCACCCTTAGTGCCCATGGTGTGTGGGCAAGCAGTAGTACGGAGCCCACAGGAAGCAGTCTTGGCATCCGTGAGCCCAGGAGTGACCTGCCCTGGGGCCGGGTCCAGCACCTGAGTTGAGCACCCTCCCCCGCCCACCAACCTGTCACCTGCACCAGCCTCCACACCCCTGTTTTTAATGGGCACCCCTGACCGAGCAAGGGCAAGCGCAGGCCACCCCTGCTGCCCCCTCACCAGGGGTCAATGAGGATTTCCACAAGGGCTGTGCACAGCAGCACCACGCAGGAGCAGCTGAAGGCGGCCCCACTCTGCTTCTCCTTTTCCTCCGAGTAGCGGGACTCCAGCTCGGGGTCCATGAACCTCATGGTTAGCAGGAAAGTGTTTCTCTTCTTGACCCTGCGGGAAAGTGAGCCCAGCCTGACCTTTTTCCCTGCAGCCATGCATTTCCTTCCCCCAGGCCTGGGAGGGCCCATGTACATCTTGGCCCCCCTCTCCCCATCCCTCCAGGCCCACAGGGTAGGGCCGCGTACACCTGTGCCGATTCGCGCTCCAGCAGGGCCTCATTGAGCAGCTGGTTGAGCTCGTGTTCGTCCTCAGAGGCGTCCACCACACGGTCAGCCAGGTCCTGAAGGCGCAGCCTTCGGCGAGGGTTGGGGAATGAGGGGTTGTCAGCCTGGAAGCCGAGCCAAGGAAGGACATGGTTGGTGGGGCAGCGGAGGGTGGGACTGAGCCCTCTTGCTTGCAAGCAGCTCCCAGTGCGGCCCGTAGGCCTCGGTCCTGCCCTGTCTTCTAGGGCCTGGGATGACACTGCTGCGGGGAGCAAGTAGGAGGAGGGAGGAAGGGCAGGCAGAGTTGGGTACTGTGCACAGCACTCAGGCCAGCTGGGCCTGCACAGCCACCATGGGCAGGGCTGCCGGGAGCTGGCGGGACCCAGTCCTGCACACACCTGCGCCTCCTGTTGCTCAGGCTCCTCCGACGTGGAGCCGCTGGCATGGCCGCTCCCACTGGGCTCCTTGGTCTCGATGAGGGCAGGGGAGCTGGGCTGTGGGGAAGCCGGGGCCCCATTGGGCAGTGCCTGCCGGGAGTCGGTGGCGGGGGGGGGCGGTTAGGGAAGAGTGGCCTCAGGCAGCGCCTCCCACCAGGCCTCCAGGAGCCCCGCTGGCCCAGGCCCCTCACTGTCCACCCCTCGCCCTGCAATGCTCTCCTCTTCCAACCAGTGGCCACAGTTAGTTTACATTTCCTAAGCAGAGAACGACCCAAACACTAGACTCGTCTCCCACAGCAATAATTGGGGAGCAGATTCACAGAGGCCTTTTGGGTGTGGGCCCCCACTATCTTCTGCCCGTCTGAGAACGCCATAGACCCTTCTCCCCAAAGAGCAGGGAGTCACAGGTTAAAAACCACGCTGCAGGGAAATGCTTCCTGGCTTCCTTCACCAGGTGACAAGAACCAGCCCACCTCCTGGGGATGAAGGGCCAGAGTCCCACACAAGTGCAAGAGAAGGGGCGGAATCCCACTGGGACACACAGTACGCAGGGGCAGGTGACATAAGGCACACAGGTAGAGCACGAGTGAACTAGCCCTGAGGAGAAGCCGGATGTGGGCAAGGCCAGCTGAAAGGGGCGGTGAGGTCAGGGGTCACTGTCGTAAACACAGGAAGGAGCAAATCATGCAGCCAACTGGGAGCAGAATTCCCGTGCACAGCTGCCACGGCCGGGGACAGGTGCGTGGACTCGAGCCAGGAGGCGTGCAGGGGAGGAGGTTGCTGGGGCAGTGGGCAGGAAAGCTGGGACTCTGGAGAACCCCCCACAAAGACCAAGCCAGTGGGCGCATCTGACACCAGCCTGTTCCCGCTGTGTTTCCTGCCCACCGGCCTGGTACCCTCCTGCACATCACCCTCCCAGCTGCTTCCAGACCCTTCTCATGTGACTTGAGGCACCAGCAGCCACCTGGGTGCCATCCTGCCATGATCGCACTTCCAGCTCCCCCAGAAACCAGCTGCTCCCCCCGACTCCCAGGAGGCACCGCCCCCTCACTGCTCTGGAATCAGGTTTGTGGCAGGCACCCCGGGGTTCAGTGACTCACCGAGCCATTAAGGCCGTTTTGGGCGGCTGTCTTCTTCACCTCAGGCTTGGAGGCGATGATGAGGTAGGTCTCAATGCCCTTCTCCTCCAGGTAGTCACAGCGGCTGCCCCCGTCGCCTGGCTCCACGTCGAACTCTCCCTTCAGACAGTCCAGGGTACTCTGGGAGATATGCACACGCCTGTGGGCACAGCGAGGGAGCCCTGAGCCCCGGCCCAGGCCCGTGGGCAGAGGCTGCAAGAGGCCCGTCCTGTCCCTGACCAGCAGGCAGGAGGCAAGGCACCTGCTCCCCTCTCAGCCCTCCTGAGGCAGGAGGCTCCTGGGACACCCAGTGAGGTCAAGGACCTATGTCTGCTCTGACCTTGAACTCCATAGTCCAAGTGTTCACCTCACAGGATTTCCAGTTGCAACCCCAGGGGTTACAGAACCCAGCTGCCCTGGAAGGGAGGCGCTGCAGCCCCACTCAGCAGTCAGCCAGCCTGGCTGGCCAGTGAAGTGCAATGTACATACATGGGGCTGCCTCTTGGCCTGCAGTCAACCATGACCATTAAGGACACTCCCAGGGAGGCTGTGGCACCCCACAAGTGCCAGACCCCAGACCAGGGATCCCAGGCACCTCAGATTGGAGGCAGGAGGGGCAACTGCCCTGGAGGTGCCTTGTCTGAGGGTAGCGAGGGAGGGTGGCCCCACCCCTGGTTCCCAGGCCTTCTGACTCACCGCCCAGAAGGAACACTCACCCAGGGATGCCACCGGCTTCCATCTTATTGGCCACAGTGACATCAGTGGACCACACGTCATACTGCCAGCGCTTCTGACCCAGGACACCCCCCAGCACGGTGCCCGTGTGCACCCCTACGCGCATGTCCACCCCGGTCTTGGTCTTTTCCCGCACGTACCTGCCAGGCACACACAGCAGGAAGGGGTCAGCACAGAGCCCCTTGGCAGGTGGCTGTCCCCTCCCTTGTTTGAGGAGTCCCTCCAGGTGGGCATGTGCTTGGGTCAAGTACCTGGCCCTTTCAGCCCCCTTCTGGTATGCATTTGAGCTATGGACCCTGGAGGGAGGCCGACCCAGGTTCCCCCATCACAGGGGCAGGGGTGTGAGGGGGCGGTGAGGCAGAGGGGCTCTCGTCGAGGGACCTGCAGTCTCCCTTTTGCAGTCATTAACTTCTTGGCACAATGGCCACCTGGTATGTGCCCAGCATGACAGAGCAACAAGCTCTGGGAGCTCCTTAGGGAGCACCAATATGCAAGAGAAATGCAACAACGCGCCTGATCGGCAGATGGGCACAGGACATAGCTTCTCGGGGGTCAAGACAGCATGGATCTCCTTCCGGGCCACAGGCAGAGGGGTCTAATCCCGAGATGGGGTAAGATGGTCCCAATTGTTTCCCTTGCCCCTTCACTGCTGGCTGCCACAGGAGACTTAACGGACCACCTTTGTGGGGCTCACCAAGCCCACCTGTAGCAGTGGCAGCAAGGGCAAGGAGAGGGAGGAAGGGTTACACTGGCCATACCCAGCAGGAGCAACTGAAGTGTCTGGTGTCCCGTGAGCTCAGCAGCCACTGACACAGGACGACCTCCACACCTGACCCTGGCAGCGACAGAGCCTGGCCCAGAGCCCAGGGCAGCTTCCCCCATCCCCCGCCCCTCCAGGGCGGCTTACGAGATGGCCTCCACCATGGCTAGCCCCATGAGGATGGAGCAGACAGCGTGGTCCTCCCGGTAGTCGGGCAGGCCGCAGATGCAGTAGTAGCAGTCACCCAGGATCTTGATGCGTAGCTGGTGGTATTTCTGCAAGGGCAGGGTGCACAGCACCTGAGTCCCTCCAGAGGCCACCAGGAGGGGCCAGGGTCAGATGGGAGTGATGCCAAGGGGCGGGGTAGATGGAGACTCACCGCGGCCAGCTTGTCAAAGCGCGCAAAGAGCTCATTGAGCAGCTTCACAAGCTCCTGGGCGCTGCAGGCGGAGGACAGCTGTGTGAAGCCCACGATGTCTGCGAAGAGGATGCTGTGGGGCCAACAGTGGCGGGCAGTGAGCTTGCCGTCCCCTGCCCCATGGGGGCGGAGGCGGCAGCCTTGGCTCAAGCTGCCCACCCCGCAGGGCCCAGAGCAGTAAGACCCCAGACTCATGGCTCTGACAGCGCAGCCCACCCTTTGCACAAGTGCCCTATGCAGACCTCCCAGACCTCCGTCCCTCCTTCCCAGCCCCACCCCATCTCCAGGCTGAAGATGGCCAAGTTCCTGGAATCGGAGCTCAAGGTTGTAGCCTCAGAGGCCCGGCAGTCCTGCCCTGCTCGGAGGGATGTGGCCAGAGCCATTAGCCTACATCCTCTCTGTGCTGACACCTACCAGCTGAGTCACTGCACAGAGGAGCTGAGGCCAGGGTCAGGGTTCCTAGGGAACCCCTCAAACCTCACCACCTCGGCAGCCCCCGCTGAGCCTCGAACCCCCGGCTGCCCGTTGCACCTGACATTCTCGTGGCGGTACATGTACATGGTGTTGAACTGCTGCTGGTCCTTCTGGCTCTCGTCCTTCTTCATGTCCTTGAGCATCTCATCGGCCACGTGCTTGGGCAGGATGGAGAGCATGAGGTTCTCCTGGGGGTGGGGAGAGAGGAGCAGAAGGCAGGGCGTTACCAGGAAGGAGGTCCCTGCCTTCTGCAGAGGCCAGCTCACACGTTCCGGAAGGAAACCCCACAACCTGGCATGAGATATCACCCGGGTCCCGAGGCCCACACTGGCAGCTCAGCTGAGGAACCAGCCAGTCCTTCTGAGAGGCCCTGCTCCGTGGCTGTGCTCAGCAGGTAGGCCCTGCCCAGGGAACCACAGAGGGCAGGAGCAACGTGGCCACCTCCAGGTCATCCAAGCCATGGCCTTGGACAGGGTAGTCACCCCTGAAATCCACATGTTTCTTGAGCCAAGACCTGTGATAGACCACGAGTGCCACGTGACAGGTGCCCCAGTGCTTGGGGTCTTATGGGCTCCCAGCAACCTCATAAGGACCCAGGGGCAACACGAGAAGGGAATGACATGGAGTCCCTGGTGGCTTCAGACCCGCAAGGGGCAGAAATAGAGGCACAGCTCACGAGCCAGGCACAGAGTACACAGACTGGGGGGCTGGGAGATACCAAGTCAGACTGCTGCCCATCACACCAAGCATCCGGCACTCAGCCTCACAGAGTCGCTGAGTGTCGCTGGCTTGTCAAGTTCCATCAGTTAAGGGCAGCAGTGGCAACGGACCCAGTGTGACCCATAAAGCCACAAATATTTAGTCTCTTGTTTGGGCATCTGGGGGATGCGGCAGGCAGGCATCCCCAGAGGCTGAGCGAGCTTGGGGATGCCCTGTAGGCAGGCAGACAGTGGGCAGGCAGGCACACATGCATTCCAGAAGGGAGCTGTGGACACAAAGGACTGGAAGGTAGAGTCGGAGAGGGCCCAGGGCTGCCCGCTGGGAGAGGGCAGGGAGCATGGCACCTGGGGAAGGGCTGCACTGAGGGAGATCCTAAGGAAATTAAATGAAGGAGGGGAGGCAAGGAACGCCAGGCCAGCCTGGGAGAAGTGGGGGCTGAGTGGCATGGTGTCAGATGCTGAAGGGTGAGAGGTGACGGGCGGGGAGCTCAGGGCCCAGTGTGCAAATCCCAGCAGCCACGGGAGCAATACCAGGAGCCAGTGTCTGGTCCTTGGTATGCAGGTATAGCCAGACTGCAGGTCCCAGGCTGTGGGGACCTTGTCCCCCTGCCAAGGCCTGTGGAAGGAAAGGCAGGCTATGCTGCTCCTGCTCTGCCGTGTCCCACGGGCCCAGGGAAGGCAGAGAGACCTGCCCTGCACATGCATGGAGGCACAGGTTCAAGTCCCATCCTCCAGGAGGGGCTGCCAAGAGGTCCAGAGACCTCCCCTCCTGCAGAAGTGGCTCCGCTGCAAGGACGGCCCTGCCTGTCCCCCTGGTGCTGTCCATGGCCCGTGGGGCCCTGGCTTCCCGGGCTCTGTGGATTTGTGAGAGATAAATTAACTCTTTTTTGTAGTCAATCATTGGGTAGGACACTGAGGGTGCCTTCTGCCCAGCACCCTGGGTCCGGAACACTTCCGCTGCTTCTTCTCTGCTTCTCCCACTTCCACTGCCAAACACCTCACTGTAGCATTACCAGAGCCCAGCAACAAAAAGCCAAAGCCACTCTGGCATGCCATGAGCCCAGCAGGTGCATCTAACTCAATGACCCTAGTGCTTGACACCCTGCCTCACCCAAACAAAGAGGAGGCCAAACAAAGGGATGGGTGTAGGCGGAGCTTGGACCCCCTCCCCACCCCAGTTAAGGATGCCATGAAGAAAAACAGCCTCTGTGAAGGCTTACCAGGAAACCCAGAGATGGACCCTGCAGCTCAGCTTGGCCTATAGGATGGCTGGGAGTGGGCAGGGGCCAAGGGTCTGACATAGGTGGGCAACCATGAGCATGGGGCCTGTGACTTCTCTCTGTCAAGCATCCCTGCAGTTCCAGCCTGGCTGGCCGAGTGTGTACCCACAGTATACAGGAGGCTCCATGGCCTGGCTCGGACCCCAGCCCTGCTTGTATCTGCCATGCTATCAGGTAAGTCCCTAAACTCCCTGGGGCCTTGTTTCCTGGACAGGACTGGGCAACTCACAACCGGTCCTGAAGCTCTCAGACCAGTGCTGGCAGCTGCAACAGGTTGGATGTTTCTGCTGCTGGTGACAAGAGGCAGCATGCCAAGTGTTGCCAAGGTCATGGGGGCAGCAGGGGCTGCAGCAAGACGAGGCTGGAGCCCACTCTGCGGGTCACTGTGGCTCTGCAGGGCCAGACTTCCCAGTGGGCACAGGCTGATGCACAGCCCGATGCTGCCTTCCTTTCATCCTTAGCTCTGCTCCCCATACCTACATGATCAGTCTGAGTGCTACTCACGGAGAGTGGGTGAGGAACAAAGGGCAGGATGTGAGGCATGGGTCTCAGCATGTCCCAGCATTCAGTGTCCTCACGGCTTGCTCCGTCCTGTCCACCTCAGCCCACCCTCCCTTCCTTCCTCCCTCCCTCCCTCCAGAAAAGCCTTTCTGGGCTCCCTGGCTGCAGGGGGCCAGCAGAAGCCAACCCAGTCCCACCAAGTGCTCCGGGCCTCTTCCCACAATTCCAGTTTCCACTCCAAAAGCCGGCTCCTCCTCAGGTGGAGCCCACCCCCTGCTTCCTCCTGGCAGGACCTGGGGCTTCAGGGCTGACAGCCAGCCTGGCACTAGCCTGGGGCAGCCCCAAGGCCCTTTAGCAGGTGCCTGGGAAGGCCTGGCACCCATGCTGAGGCTGCAAGGTTGACATGGGGGTGGGGAATCCCCTTTTTGCATTAGGGTTGTTCCATCACCTCAATTTTTAAGAGAAATATATGAGGCTAGGAAATCAAGAACTATCCAACTTAAGAATAATAATAAAGGTTATAAATTAGGGCTCCCAAAAGACACACCTGGCTTATGGAGGTCTTGCAGTCAACCCTACAAGGCTCAGAGGGCAGACAGTCCACTTGAAGTCATTCTACCACAAGGCAGGTCTTACTGAAGCGGGCACCCATGGAAGGGAGGGTGAGCATGGGGGAGCCGACAGGCTAAAAGTGGGGAGAGCAGGAAGCTGTGGGGGGGCACACTGAAGCAAAGACCCTCTGGTGTGCACGGGTTCAAGGAGACAAGGGACGCAGCGGGCAGTGAAGACCTCAAGTTCTGTCACATGTGTTTGGGGAAGGAAGGTGGCAGGGGTCCAGGTGCAGCTGCTTGGTGGGTCTAACGGGGGGTGTTGGTAGAGGGGCCCCCAGAACATCCCAGCATGGCTCAGGGGACTGAATCTGCTGGACGCAGCTGGGTCTCCCCAGCACCAAGACAATTACTCTTCCAAAAACAGCAGCTGTATGTCTGAGGAATCCTAAGAATGCTCCCAGCTTTCGACCCATTAGTGATTCCTCTGTGAATTTAGCTGAAGAAACAATCCAGAGGAAGTGAAAAAAAAGGGCCCAGCATGGTAGCCTAGTGGCTAAAGTCCTCGCCTTGCATGCATCTAGATCCCATATGGGTGCTGGTTCTAATCCTGGCAGCCCCACTTCCCATCCAGCTCCCTGCTTGTGGCCTGGGAAAGCAGTCAAGGACGGCCCAAAGCCTTGGGACCCTGCACCCATGTGAGAGACCCAGAAGAAGTTTCTGGATCCTAGCTTTGGATTGGTTCAGCTCCAGCCGTTGCGCTCACTTGGGGAGTGAATCATCGGACGAAAGATGTTCCTTTCTGTCTCTCCTCTCTGTATATCCGACTTTCCACTGACTTTCCAATAAAAATAAATAGATCTTTACAAAAAAGTAAAAAAAAAAAAAAACACATGTGCAAGAAGAGCTACATGGCAGTGCGACGTCATGCTGTCCTCAGCTCCAGCTGCCCCGTGCCATCACAGGGAGAAAACCACAGTGAGGCCAGGAACTTGGGAAGGGAGGGCCTGGGTTCCAGCCTGGCAGGCCGGGGGCTCCTGGGGGCAGAATGCTAAGGAGGGAGGGAGGGGGGCTGCAGGGAACACGGTTGCCTTCTAAGAGGGGAGGCTTGTTCTCCAGGCCCTCGGGGAGAGGTGGGGCTGCCCTGAAGGTGGCGAACTGCGGGTCATGGGCGAGAGCAGAGCGTGGGCAGCAAGGTTGGTGCAGCCCGCGTGGCCTCTGCCAGGCTGCAGCTCCCTGCTCAGCAGTGACTCACGGCTCGGCACTGAGACAGAAGGAGGACAGCCCAGCTCCCCAGGGCTCAGGTGGTGACACTGCTGCGCTGCTGCTGAGGCATCCAGAAGTTAATTACAGCAAGTGGCAGTCGGAGGGATTTGGGGGAGAAGCTACATGCATGCAAGGGAGAGGGGAGCAAAAGGCCCGCACCCCACGTGGCCTGGGCTGTGTGTGGTGCACGCAGCGGGGTGGACAACGAGCATGCTGGCAGTGTCTGAGACAGACATGTATGTGAACTCTGCGGGGTGGTGAGCACACATATGACCACATACACACTAACAGTACGCGTCATGGCAACTGGTCACAGGCTGTGAGCAGACCAACAGCTGCTCCGCATGCCTTTCTGCCCTGGTCCCAGTTCATCCAGATGTGTGGGGTGGGGGGAGGCTTCCAGGCTGTTCGGAAGCCAACAGTCACTTGACTCCACCAGGGTGGGCACACTGGCCTGCTCAGCTGGGCAGAGGCCACGGGCAGGAACAGGAGGGCTGGGCCTCCTGTGAGGTCAGAGGCTCCCAGCCCCTCCTCCCCGATGGGAGGACCACAGCAGTGAGACGCAGTCATGGCCACAGCCTGTCATACACAGGACAGTCCTGGGGCCTCCTAGCCATTCCCTGCACTAAATCCTGGAAAGGTCAAAGGTAGCCACACCCTGGACGGGCGGGGTGGCCAGGTCACATCATGAGTGACAGGTCTCCTGACGCAGGAGTGTTTGGCTGTGGGGATTCAGAGGGAAAAGGAGCCACTCAACTCAGAATGTAGTGTAGCTTACTAGCGACCCTCTGGCATGAGAACAGGCACTGGCCTGGGTCCCTAGAGCCTTCAGGAAAGGGCCCAAGATGAGCAGGGCTACGCAGGACTCAGGCTG